TAGATATAAACTGAGAGAAAAAAATAGGAAAAGCTGCAAGTAGCTAGAAAAAATGCCTTTCTTATCTGTCTTATTTCACACAGACTCAGGCAGTGCCACTTGTCATGAAGATAATCTTGATTGAAGCTCTTCTTCCTTGTCATCATGTCCTGAAGGGCTGCTTAGTCTGCCTGGAGGAGAACGGAATTACACCTGCCTCTATCACAGCCACTGCACTGTCACAATGGCTACAAGTGAGGATATGAAGAATTAGTGGAGCCATGGGTGATGATCTGAAGGTAGTGCAGGAATTACTACTGTCCATTCTGGACCATTGCTCCCTCATAGCAGATCATGTTGCAGCAGGGAGAAGTGGGCCAGTTTAGCCTGATCTTTCTGTGCACGAGAGCTGTAATGAGGCAGGGCATTCAGGTCCAGGAAGAGACACCAAGAGGCACAAAGTGCCCATACAGAGTGTATGAACATTTTTTTTTCTTTTTTTTCTTTGATTTATGGGCCTGAGTAGTGTTAAAAACAGTGAAAGGAGAAGAAAAATTATGAAGAGAACATTCAGAGTAAAAACCTGGGATTCTTCTGTCTTGCTTTGATGACCGACCAGCAAAACTGGTTACTTTGAGGTGGATTGGAAGACTTGCAGACACTGAGGTAGCAGTTACAGCTGGTTGGCATCTCCTGCAGTGCACACAGCTCCAAGCTGATCAGCTCAGATTCCTGGAGAGTAAGTTTTTTCATTGTTGCTTTCCTCATTGACTCTCTTTGTTTGTAGGTAACTGTCAAATGGACTTCAGACTTCTCTTCATTGTGACCACTTCCTAAAGCAGAAGGGACCAAGATGTGACTGGCTGTTTGACTGCAACTCACGTCTACTCCTGGCTTGCTTCGATGGCAGCTGCCAAACGTAGCCATGACATGACGTGGTTTTGGCAAGCTTAGAAGCCTAAGGTAAGCCTGAGATTGTGTGCACCTCAATGCATTGCCTTGCCACTGGGCTGGAACTCTGGGGCTGCCAACCACCCTCAGCCCCTCCTCTCTTGAGAACCAGCCAACAGTGGCGTTGTGTGATCTTAATAGTTAATTGTAATAATTCCATTTTGGCCTGAGCAGAGCAGAACAGAAATAATCAGGCTTAAAACAAATAAAAAACCCAAGAGCAACATAGAGTTATTTTAGAATAAAAGCACATGTAGCTGAACTAATACTCCTGACGAACAAGGACATGGCTTTCTCTCAGGGCATCCTGCAGTCCTGTAGGGAAGATGTGACCTTATTTGCATTCTTCTTGTTGAATTGCTGTTGGGATTTCTGCAGCATAGCAAGGGAAAATTCCTCCGGGAGAGCATGGAAATATCACAGCACTAACACAACATCCTTCAACTAGGTTCCTTTTCCTCAGCCATGTTTTGCCCCTTGCATTGCTCTCTGGCCAATCACCCAGCACTAAATGCATCCCCTTCTCCCAAATGCAACTCTCATCCTTTTTCTTACAATGTAGTCCAAAAGCAGCAGATGATGAATACAACACATAATGCTGATTGAAATAAACTTTAAAGATGGTTTAATTATTTCCTTGGATTTCAAAACCATTGAAGTTGCTCCTTCCCCCATTTCCAGAAATAAAAATCTGTGATCTGCCTTACATGTTTCTTCCCTTCCTCCCCAACCTTTTCTAAAAAGCAGAACAAGGACTGGCCCTCCCCTTGTACTTGCACGTTTGAGTGCTCCTTTCCAAGGGCAGCACTTTGAATTTGAAGTTTATGATTTTGGATGCTTCTATCATAAGCATTTTCAATTCTAATCATGTTCTCTAAATTGCTCAGACTCTTTCCCAGCATGACGTCCTGCTCCAATTTTCTACTTAGATAATTAAATTCAGAGCACAGGAGCATTCAGCTCCTCAGCAGAGGTATCACATTAGACCTGGATGTAAGACAAACTGCTGTGGAACTCACATGACATTGCCTCTGTTGTCAACTGGCAGAGAGAAAAATGGCTTTTGTAGCAATGTCTCTATAGCTTTAGGGTAACACCACTGTTTCACCAGCCCATTGGTTTCAGCTTTGCTTCTGTTGAGGGTTAGAAATCAGTGAATTCAGGTGCTGCAGCTCTTGCCCCAGTGTCTCAGCAGAAAGGTACCTGATGAAGCTTTATTTAAAACCGAGGCTAGTTACTATGGCTGCTCAGAGGTCCTGGTCTGCCATCTTCCTACAGGAGTGTTAAAGAAGCAGGATACCAGGCAGTGTTACTAACTGTAGATTGTGTCTTTATGAGTCAAAAGCATCACTTCGAGTTCTAGAAAAGCAGGTGAAGAAAAGCCTTTTTGTGAGGGGAGTGGATTTTTATTTTCTGGTTCCACCTCCTGTGCTGCCCTGGTGAGGCTGTAGCATGCAGCTCCAAATTTCTTGACTGTGACAAACCTCATGGACAGGAACAGATACAGGCATGGGGTGCAAGTGCTCAGCAGTCCTTCTCTCAGTAGGAAAGGCAGTGGCAAAAGCAGATAGATACAGGTGTTCTGCAAGACCCTCCAGCCCAACATGCTGTCAGTTGGCCTCCTGTGTAGTGAAAAGTCAAAGTGCAGCAGAGCACTCTATTAACTGTGTTTCCTCCAGTGCCATGGTTAAGCAGGTTCTCTACCAGTCTGAAACACACCAGCCACCATTCTGCTTGTAGGAATTTTCACGATGAACAGATAATTCTCAAAGCTTGAGTCTGATGAATTAATTCTCTAGTTGCAAAACATAGCTTTCACTTTTGGTATTGTAGCCACTTTTGTTTCTCCGACGAGCAGTGCCTTCATTCTGGAGTTCTGTCTATGCCAGCTGCCCTCATTCCAATCCTGCCTGCCCCTCTCAGCCTTTTCCTGTGGAACATCCAACTTAATCTTGTGACAGTAAGACAGATGCATTGTGTATACCTACTGACTGTTATCAGAAGTTTGGTAAATGGTAGATTTCTCAGAAAAAGGAAAATGTCAAGATTTTTTTCCTCGTTGCCTGTTGGAATAATATAAGTAGATCCAGACACCTAGACCTTAGGTCTTAATTCATCAGGAAGTCAAAAACTAGCTGGTAATCCTACATGCCACATGGAATTTAACACTTTTAAACATATACTCAGATCTTCCAGACTAAAAGGCAAAACTGATTAAGTTTCAAATTTAACTTTTTGTTGGATGAATGGGTAAAACGACCTATGCATTTGTTTTGGCTTTGTTTTCAAATTGTAGAGTACTAAGTCATAGAATATCCCTTTTCAGTCAGAGCCCAGTTATTAGGAGAGAGACGGAGATGCAACTCTGAGAATAAGCATCGCGTTGCTTCTCTTCTGCTACAGACCATGTTTATCAGAATCAGGAACACTGTCACCGTTTCAACTTACTGTATAAAGCATGCATATACAAACTGAATTATAGTAAGAGCATAATGGATTGAACATAAGTGTCACAAGTGTGATACAGCCTTCTGATATTTAAAAATAATAACCAAAACATTTAGAACTTACCTCACAGAAAACAATTTAACACTTGTTTGTTTTGTCCAATGAAAGATTGCATCATTCTGAATTTAATGTATAATATAACCTTTATTCTTTTTCCTCTAAACTCTTGGAAACTTACATAACAATCGTGCTTTAATTATGACACCATTTATAGACATTTAAAATGCATCTTAATTTATAAATATTTTACATTTGGTCCATAGAACAGGTTGCAATTTACTAAATAATACTGTACTCTTTTAAACAGGCTCTGTATATATTTTTGAATATGTATATATTACATATATATTTTTATATAGAGATAGATTTGCTTGGTGTTCAGATAACTCCTTATTGCAAAAAGCATATATGATCATACAATAATCTTTTTTTCAGGGCAAGTACTACAAAAAGGATACAGCTATTCACAGTTTACACACAGTAGTTCTACAACACTATTTTGTGCTATGTGGTACGTTTGTACAGCTTTTTGCTAAAGAGCAGGTCTGTCAAACATCTGTCATAATTGTTTACAATCAAACATTAAATACTGCATTTTTCTTAGAACAACATGGGACTTGATTACATTAAACGATAAAGTTGGAATTTTTATCTTAGTCTAATGAAATTCACAATTATAATGTGTATGCATCATGTATAATGGGTGCGTGTGTTACTTTTCCTCTAAATCCCAAAGACTTACAGGACTTCTGCATTTCAGCCATAGCCATTTAGGATGTAGCTTAGATCTCGTAATATTTTACAGTTGATCTATGTATGAAACAGATTAGAACCTACCGAACATACTCTGAGATTTTATGATGTAGTTTGAAATACATATGTATTATATATATATTATTTCTACAATAATGTGCTTGACATTCTGAGAATAATACCTTATTGCAAGAACATGTTTGTCACCTTCAGACAAAAACAACGAAAAACCCAACATTCACAGTTAACGTTTTTCACGTAGTAGTTCTACATAAATTGTGCTATCTAACATTGTACGTTGCACAAAAAATTGCTGAAAAGCATGTTTCATTGCACAGTTCTGTCACAGTCATTTACAATCAAACATCAAATACTGCATTTTCCATAAACCTTTGTGTCTGTCATATAGCTGCCAAACAAGAAATGCCATACAGGGCTAACTACTGCATTTTCCACACAGAGAAAACTTCCACTAGCTGAATGGGGTTTCCAGCTACGTGGCAAATGCAGATGGAGCCCGGAGTGGAAATTTTTATATTACTGAAATAGCTTTCCCTCCTGCCTTCATCACCACAAATAATATGTAAATAAAAATAAAACTGTTTTCAAAGTGCTTATGATCCATATTTTATAATTTGCTTATTTGAAACTGTTGAAGTCGTTTAATGGATTAAAAAAAACAGTTGTGAAATAAAACCCTAAATTAGAATTACAAGGATAAGCTTCAATCTTTAAACCATTGTTTTGGTTTCTATTTTGGTGGCAATGCAATAATAGCTAATAATAACAGCATAACAAAAGCTCAAGTACTCTGAGCTTGAATTGCAAATACCCTGTATTTCTTTTTTTTTTCTTTTTTGTTTTTTTGTTTTTTTTTTTTGCTGGGAGTATTTAAGAGCTCTTAAGAATTGCATGTTACTTCTCATCTTCCTAAAAAAAAGTTAGAAGTCACATTTTTGCCCATACATCTGCGATTCATGCAGTGCTGCTTCACAGAGATGACTTCTTTTTATAAGATAGAGTATATGCTTTTAAAAAAAAAATCCACAATCTTGTGTGAAAGTTATCCTGAAAGGTTAAGAACAGGTAGTGTTTGCAGCCCTGCTATGCTGCCTTGCTACAAATAGCCATATAATAACTTAATTTGTAGTAGGAATGTTCGTAAAGGCTATGCCTACTGTGACTCTCAGTTAATTCAAAGAAGTCTCTCCCTGCTCAAATGGCCTTGACAAGAACAAATTTTAAGGGCAGACTTTTTCACTGCAAATCACTTGGTTACAAAATACGTCATTCTTTTGTACAAAACAATTCCAAACTTAATTTTACTCCTGCAAAGTCAGAAATAACAGTCTTGGGATTCAGTGGTAAGAAGTACTGATAAACTACTAAAAATCAGTAGCACAAAACTTCAAATAGTCGTGCTAAAAGGTAGATTAAAAAGGTTTTGCACATCGGTTTACAAATGCCAAGATATGCAACTATTGTTCTGAAAGGATAAAAACATTAACAGTCTGTGGATTGCCAGAGAACACAAAATACTGTCAACATCTGAGCTCGCACAATGGTTGGATCATACCTATGGCGATTCCCTTAGAATGGAGGTGACCTTTTATCTTTTTTTCTTTTTTTTTCTTTTTTTCTTTTTTTTTTTTTTTTTTGCCACTAGAGGTAGGTAATTATATTCTCAGACTTAAATTTGTGGTCATATTCAACCATATTTTTTGTTTTTCTGGAGTAGTATTTGTACTTTTGTAATGCAGAAGTTTAGATGTAGGCTTCTTTGTTTGCGGAGTTGCTCTGTTGGGCCTGATCTGGCCCATTTTCAGGATGACTGATGTCTTCACTGGGCTGAATCATTACTTGGATGCGCTGTTTAAAGAACAACAAAAAATGCGAGGCAGTCAAAAATCTGCTTCTAGGTTGTTTTTTTGTTTGTTTGTTTGAAGACAATCTCTGGCTAGGTATTGGAGCTAAGGTGAAAAAATTCTGCCCATCTCCTAAGGTCCTATATATACTGGTCTCATATATTGAAAACATTATCAAAAATACTATTGATATTGAGCATGTCACAAAATAGCCCACTCCAGTCCAATAAGAAAATTTACTTGTGTTAAGTAAAGCTATTCTTAAATGGCTCATGTACTGAGATTTGAACACAAACTTTTAAAAGATCTTTGCTCCATGAGTTTTCTGGAATAGGAACAAAACCAAATCATCTTAGTCTTGTTTCTATGCAGAAACATGGAGCAGGGTGAGGAATGGCATAAAGCTTAGTCAGTCTGTAACCATTTTGAGCAGTTTGAACTGTGCTCTGTAGGAGACATGACAGTAGGATTTGAAAGACCACAAGTACAATGGTACATGTCATATGCACAGGGAACATTCAACTGAGTATGTCTAGGGGAAAGAAATTTGGGGAGACTGTAGTATGGAGTAGGAGAGGCAAGACTCTCTTGCAAGGGCACAGGTTAAACAGTGCAGACAGGTTAAACAGTTTGCAGTGGGCAGCATGGGCAGTGGTCAGTTCTCAGAGAAGTGACGGTGAACCCCCTCCATGGGTCAGAAAGATGAGAGAGAAGCAGTTGGAGCTTCTATGAGTTACTACCTCTAAGAATATAAAAGGTTCGGTAGACTTATATTTGTGATCTTTTTATTTCTGTTTGGTCACTCCTAGTCCTTTTGTGTTCTCCAGTCATGAAGCTCATCTGTGTAGCTCACACCTGTACCAAGAAAGGGAGTCCACTTTACAATGTCAAAGCATGTGACTGCCATGTTTCCTATTATCTGATGATCACAGAATCACAGGAACATAGAATAACTTAGGTTGGAAGGGAACCTTAACGATCAAACTCCAATTCCCCTGCCATGGGCAGGGTTGCTAACTATTAGGTCAAACTGCCCAGGGCTCTCCATCCAGCCTGGCCTTGAATGCCTTCAGGGATGGGGCATCCACAATCTCTTAGGGGAACCTGTTTGAGTGTGTCACTGCCCTCTGAGTAAAGACTTTCTTCCTAACATCTAACCTAAATCTCCCCTCTTTCAGTTTAAAGCCATTCTGCCTTGTCCAATCACTATCAGACTGTAAAAATTCTTTCCCCTTCCTGCTTATGAGCTCCCTTCATATACTGGAAGGCCATATTGAGCTTTCTCTCCTCCAGGTTGAACAAGCTCAGCTCCCTCAACCCTTCTTTATAGGGGAGGTGCTCCAGCCCTCTGATCATCTTCATGGCCTTCCTTTGGACCTGCTCCAACAGCTTTGAATCTTTTTTGTGTTGGGGGCTCAGGTATGGATGCTGTACTCCAGCTGGGCCCTAGGAAGGACAGAATAGAACAATCACTTGCTCCACTCTGTTGGTGAAAACATTTGTCAATGCATTCAAAATTTGAAAATCATTCAAATGCTTTCACAAATGGAAGGAATCTACAGGAAGACTGAACTGAGGAACTTCTATTGTGGTCTTACAATCTTGGCAAGGAAGCAATTATTGATATAAGGGCAACAATTGTCCATTTGCGCATAAACATTTTTGTAAGACCAAGATAAAGATACTGAGTAAGTAGGAGTAAGAAAATGCATATGTCAGTAATAACAGAAAATATTTCACAGAAGTCTCTGAAGCATTGCTAAGTCTTCTAAAATTTTCTGGAGAGAAATATTTGGATACAGGTCTGAGCAACTCATGAGCCATTACCCATCAATTCTGCTTACGATCATCTGCCTCTTTGCAAGGATGGCTCTGTCAGCTGATTTTAGAATATTTCAGAAATTCTGACAAAATCACTTTGACACATAGTCATGGAGGACAGAGTTGTGTGTTTCAACTGAAGTGTCTCATACACAGAATGAGACTATTGCCTGGAGAGAGAAAACTAAGGATGCACACACTTCAAAAAATTAAGGAGGACAATTGACAATTAAACAGTATACTGGTCAGTAACCCTATTAGCATTTCACACTGTCAGCAGCATTTCCCCGAGGATCTTAAAATGGATTTAAGCCATAAGAATCCTCTGTCACATGGGAAGTGTCATTTCCTTTTTAACAGATGGAATAAGGACTCAGGGAGAGGCTAAGAGCAGAATACAATGAAAAGAAGATGGCTTCTAATGTTCCTCACTAAAGTAACTCTTAACAGAAATCCTTTAATTGAGGACTAACAGAAGATGCAGCATAATCATGAGATACATCTGAGATTTTAACTTGTACTTTTTCTCAGATGCAACACAATCAGGCAGCCATTATAGCTTTCAAAATGTAGAACAGATGCTCAAATATTTGACCACATTGCAGGGAGATGATGAACAGATTCACTATGAGCAGATTCAAGAAAATCAAGAGCTGCAACGGTTCACTTGTAAGAGTTTGACTCCTATTCATTTCAGCATCACCTGCCTTGATAGATGACAGCATGTCTTGCATTAATAAGGACAAATTTATGTGTTTTGCAAACTGGTACTTTTTTCATGAGTATGAAGAGCTGAGGTGCAAAGCATCTGGAATTGTCAAAGCCTGGAAATAAGGACCACACTTAATGTGGGGAAAAGTTTTGAACAGCAGACCATATAGACATTATCTTGTCTGTTTGGTACACGTTTTTATACTTTTCATCTTGATGCAAAATAACTGGCTTGTCAGTGAGTCCACAGAAAAGATATAACTAGAAAATAACTGCTCAGCAATTTTTTGTCAGTGTGCACAGGTTTTACAGGATTCAATCACGCAGACAGGAAAGAGAGATACTTACCTGTTTCAAGGAGCCTTTCAGAGTAAGAAACATATATGCCATATAGCCTGGTATCAGCACCATAGAAGACAAAGCCATGAACCAGCCAACCCCTTGGCCCCATTTTGGGAAAACATAACTTCCCATTGTGAGAGGAGTCATTTGGACAGCACTGAAGATAAACACTCCCTGCAAAACAGAGCGGGGAGGTGGGAGGGAGAGAGAAGATTTGGATGAGTTTTATGTTCAAAAGATTTTCTGGATTGACTTGTTTCTACATCGAGGCACAGAGAAAAGGGCTCCTTAGCTCCCTGGGTACAGGGCAGCAGGCACTAACTTGTAGCCTGCAAGATCAGTCTTCCAGACAGACATTGCAGAAAAGACAGATGTCAGCATGGTACAACTGACTGATTCCCTGCTTGCTTATTCTCAAGTTTGCAAATCTGCAAATATCTGAACTGTAATTCTGCAACTATTAAGTTTCTGGTTTTTACTAAGTTTCTCATTGTTTTAATAAAGCTGCATTGCACTGGTCAGCAAGGGACTCCTCTATTAAAAAGGTTCCTTAAAGCCTGAATCTCTAGTATCTGACCTCTCTAATGTTTAAGAATGCTTTGGTACTGTTTGGATCCTCCAAGCAAAGTCAGAAAATGAGGTCAGAGAGTAGAACCTATGGATCAGTAGGTGGCTACAGATTGGTCTGTATAAACAATATCTCTTACGAAATTAAAAAAAAATGCACTTCAATTTTTTTTTTTTAAAACAAGAGACTGGGAGATAGTTTACCTGGCTGCTTCTTACCAAGTTAATCTTAATGCCTCAAGTTAACACTGTATTTTTACATATATGTGACGCATATCTCAGGTAACTCAGGTATGCTGGTGATAGGAATCAACTGGTATTGCTACAGTCCTTACATAACCTGCACAAAATCAGAGGGAAGAGGGCTACTGGGAAAGATGAGGGTTCTGGAACTACTTCCCCAATAATACCTGCATGAATGTGTCTGCTGTACCACTGAACTGCAGCACTCGTGGGGTACTTTTTTTTTTAATGGTTTTTAAACAACTAACTTGAAAACATGGTATTTTTAACTTCAGGTTCCCAAAGCAGATTTTTGTCTCAGCCTGTACACTAAATGTCTAAAGCAGCCCACATCAAGGAAAGCATGATAAACTGAATCAGGAAAGAGAATCTCTTTTTCATCCCAGGTTCAGTCCTTGTGCAGAACATTTTGCCAGAGAGCAGAATACAGACTGGCGGATTTTATTTGCACTTTATCATCACATGTGACCTTGCACCGGACAACAAATTACTCTGAAGACCTTACAGGACAGGAGAAATTTGATTGATAGGTTTTATCTATAGTATTTCTCATCACCTAATAAACTAAAATTACTCTTTATTCTTTCCTCAACACTTGCTTTCAGAAAACAAAAACCTTCTTCGTTTGTGTAGAGAAGTATCAAAGAACCCTCTGTCTAATAACCCTGTTGTGCCTCTCTTTAGTGCTGTTTGTTTACCTATGGTCTTTGGCTACCCACTTGGGAATATCAAGGAAATAGCAGTGAGTGAGAAGTATTATGTCAAGTATACTTGAAAACATTTTTCAATTGCATTCGGTCTTACTAAGTCTGCGTATTAAGCTTACATTTCTATACTTATTATTTCCAAAAGACACTGAATGGGATTAAATGGACAAAGCCTAGAATCAGTAAAGGACAATTCTGTGGTTTCCAAAGCACAAAATCCTTGCAAGGTTTGACAGAAAAAACAGTAGAAATGCCTTAAAAATTGGGTAATATATTCTACAGAATCCCATGAAGGAAGAACGTCAGCTTATAAATGTAATCTGTTGCCTGAATAGCCCTGCTGAAGGAATGCAGTTTACAATACATGGTTGTTTTTTTTTTTGTGTACATAGAAAATTTACAAAGACTGGCAAATTTTACTTAAGAATACATGAAATGGTCAAAATTTGTTTCTTACTTCTGTGCCAATTAACTGTGCTTTTGACTAATCAGCATTTCCAGAAGACTAATACAAATCTTGAAATTGTGTCGTGTTTCTTTTCTTAGTGCACAGGCTTCTTCTAAAGACAAGGGGTTTTGCCTATTGCCTTCAGTGGAATTGCTCATACCCTTAAGTAAAGGATGAGGTCAGGTCTGGTATGAAACTATGGGGGTGTAAAGGACAATAGTGGAGTGCATAGTACACCTTGTGTATCTCTCTTAAACCATACTATAAAAGTTTGTTTCTTACTGCCACAATGATTGGAGTAAAAAATGACCAGCAGAGTTTCCACCAGATGCAGGGTCTGTATCCCACCATCTCTTGGATGTTGTCATAAAATCTATTAACACCTAAATATAAAAATAAGAAACAATATAGAAATTATCGCATAACTGATTCAATTGAAAGCTCAATGCTTTCAAGAGACTGTCACAAATGAAGCAGTATATTTGGAAGCTCTATATAGACCTCAATCGACATAACATTTTACCTACTGGGATGGGAAATAAATGTGCAAATTCATAAGAACCAAAATCATTTTTTAATCTTTTTTTGTTTTAGCTACTACCAGTGAAAATGTTCCTCTGCAAAGACAGCGGAAGCCCATACAGTAAATTGGTCTTAGAAGAAGTAGATATTTAGAATGATATTTCACAGAATAAAGAAAAATATAAATCCATACCACCATTAGCCAGCAGCACAGGCTTCACTTTGTGGAGTGTATGTTCACTGAATACATGCAGAGCTGCACATGAAATCAAAGAGTAGCCTAGCCCTTCTGTTGCTGCTGCTATCTGCTAATAATCCATCACCTTCCAAAAGGTACATCTACTGCATTATTTATAACTTCCTATTAGATTTCTGTATTACTTAGCTGGTGCATTTTCTGTTCACATTTGTAGGATTTATAGGCTGGTTATAAAACCTGTTTCCTCCTCTAAGGCTATATAAAGGCAGCAGAAAGACTCCAGTTATCTAGCTCTGAATCAGTTTTGTAACACAACCTAACATTCCTTAGTAACATCAAAATTAACATACAAATACTATGGAAAGAATATTATATTATATATGTTTCTTTATCTTTAAACACAGAGCTTGTCAGCCCAGACTTCTGAATATTTTAGAGCAGTTATGCAAGACAGAATTGAGCAAGCAGCCCACCTCTCCCTCCAAGACCCTAAAGTAACAGAACCATTTCTGGAAAAGAAACATTACAAGGTACAAGAGACCCAACTCATTACGTTGAGAGAGGGAAACAAAAAAAAAAACAAAAAAAAAAAAAAAAAAAAGTTGTAAAGATGTCAGTGTTCCTGAAACACCCAGCATCTCATCACTTTGAGGCTGATACGTAGGGACATAGGGTGTTTTAAAGAGGCAGGAGTACCTCGCACCAACCACCTTGGAGTCCTTAGTGGAGTTATGTGCACAGAAAGCAAGGCCAGTTTCAATTCCAGCTGCAAATGTGGAAAAACAAAACAAAACAAAACAAACCCAAAAACTTGTTTACCATAGCACCAGGATATGGAGATGCACTCAAAGAATACAAGGAACAAGAGACTCATCCCACTGGCAGAGTAGTAGTCAAAAAGCTTAAACACATAGATTCCACCCTAAAACACATAAGGAGGAAGTGTTAGAACAAGTATTAAGGACTCCAATCTCAAAATGGATTAAAATACAAGCTAAAAACCAACAGTGAGCATAGGGTACAATGTAAATTAATTAACATTAACAGCTTGAAGTCTTCTAATGCATGAGGTCAGTACTGACAAGAATTAGATTAGAGCCAGAATTCAATTAATGGTTTGATTTCGCTTTACTCCTTTTTGTTCAACAATTCATACACTTCCCTCAATCTGTCTGCAATCTACTAGATCACAGGAAGCAATGGAGAGCATCTCTAGTTAGCATTTCTTGAACCGTATGAGGGATTGTGGATATGAGCATTTTTTCGTCACATGAACCATTCAGCAAGCCTCACTGCATCCAGGGCATACAGAGACTGCACACCTGCAAGCTAATGTGTGCTTCCTGAAGCCTCTGCAATGATTCTATGGGGGGATGGCGGAAGAGGGAAATGAAGCAGATATGGTACAGCAGAAATAAGAACACATTCTTCTACTGAACGTACCTGAGTAATGTTGGACAGCCCTATCAGATAGGAAACAATACACACAACAGCAATGAAGATTTCCCTTCGATTGCGCAGTAACTTTGGAAATTCATCCACCAAAGCTGTTATGAATCCTTCGACAGTGCAGAACTGCAAGTACATTTAGAAATAAAATACAACGTGATGCATTGCAACTGCAGGATTGGGTTTAGGGGAGGAGTTTTTAATAACACTCATCACAGGCCTAAGGCTGCATCCATTAAATGATAAAGGAAAATTCATCTGACTGCAGAGGAAGCAGTGCTTCTGAATATCCTTGTTTCTGTCTGAAACGATCTATGCAAAAAAAGATTCCCAGCTTGAAAAACATTCAACATTCGAAAGTATGACCTATAGCATGTGCTTAACAACATAAAGTGCTCTTTCTTGTGATGGAAGCCTGCAGTTGAAGGCTTTGGTCCACGGATCTATCAAAAAACCTTGACTTCTTCCATTATTTACTTAGATATATGAAAGCCAATAGACTCAAAAAGTCTGATCAGATCAGTGCTTCAGAGCGAAGGCTAGAGACACAAGATTGATTCTAAAATGTTATAAAGCAGATACTTTCTGCAGCTCCAGAAACGTCAGTGGAATGGTAACATTTTTACTGAGAATGTAAATGTAACGGTCTTCCAAGTATATATATATTTTATACTCAAAATAAACATGTTTTACTAATTTCCAACCATGAAATCAGAGTAACCAATATTTACAGTTCTTACAAATCATAGGGCATGGTCACCTTTCAGAAATATTTGTGCTATTTAAATCTTGTAAAAAATATGTAAACGTTTCCCAAGTTCATTAACAACTCGGAAGTATTTTAATGCTGTGATTGAATGGTTGAGATTCCACATGAAGATCCTCTGTTTGCACAATAAATTGCCTAATTATTCGGCATACGATTCCAACAGTTCACGAAAAATGAAAGGCTCCTCCAATTCTTTCCCTCCTTGGTATCTCCTACTGTTTATCTCATTATACCAGAACCAATGCACCAGTAACAGCTGGCAATGTGGAAAGCACAGAGCAAAGCCAACATTCTACCATACGTTTTGAGGAAAACTCATCTTCTTTATTGTTAATAATTTTTATGCCAATATTACCTGACTGTCAATTCCAAGCATTAGCAGCATGGAGAAGAACAGTATTGCCCACAAAGGAGAAATTGGTAACTGTGTCACTGCTTCTGGATAAGCTAGAAATGCCAGTCCAGGACCTGTAGGAGAAAAAGGATACAAAATGTCAATGTGATTGATTGGGTTCTGGGATTATCAACTCCTGTTGATACATGGGTTTATTTGAATGACTTAGTCATGGATGCATCTGTCAATCAAGGGATTTCGGCTTAAATGGTGTTAATTGCACAATCAGTGCACACATCTTGCATTAAAAAACAACCAACCAAAATAAAAACAAAACCCGAAAAAAACCAAACCAACCAAGGAAAACACTAGATAAAGTTCAGAAGTCACTCCTGGGAGACACCTTTGTATGGTAAACAAGGAATGTTGTCCTTAGCTAGGAATATATCTTCAGTTAAGAACCAGCCTCTGAATTACTTCCTCTGAAGTAATCACTGATGGCTTTAACTTCTGCTCTGCATCGAGTATTTTAATGGAGGAACAAAGCTCAGAAATGGAGAAGACACTTTCCAGCACTTAAAGTATTTCCATTTGCTGTTGTACCATGAATTCTCTTATAAAACACATTTTAATATGCTTTGTAGTTGTAAATAGGTAAACATTTTCATTCACATTCCTAACAACTGTCGATGAGAGCAAAGTACTGGAAGAAGAAACTTAAATCAGGCTGCCCAGAGATCCTTACAATTTTGTATTGATGCCTCCAAAAATGGGGCATCTACAAATTCTCTGGGCAGCCTGTGCCAGTGCCTCACCACTCTCTGAATAAAAAATTCTTTCCTAATATCTCATCTAAATCTCCTCTCAGTTTAAAGAAGTGACAACAATGTATGTCATAACATTTTTGCTTTTTTTTTTTTTTTTGATGAAGACTATTTCTGGTGCTTAAATTCTCTCATTTTCATCAGTGATATTTGTTTGCCAGTACAGTAATACACATTTTGTCCACCAGACTTCCGACCATGCTTTCTGTTATCAGAACGCTCCCTGTGGCCAAAATTGCTAAATGACTATTTGGTGCACCAGCTGGGTTAAGGTAACCATCTGCTCTGCTTCTGTAAGCTTCTTCTTCTGGAATCAAGGCAAAGAACTGCAAAGTATACAGAATCTATCTATGGATCTATCGTACTGCCCTGCATAAGATTATTTTTCTAATAAAAGGCCCCATAAAACTGGCTTATAGCTGTAGTTTAACCAGTGAGAGACTGATATGCCTCAAAGGGTTTGACCTCAAGAAACAGTAAAAAGAATTTAAAAACCTAACCGAATTTGAGACTATATGGTCCTAAAACATAATGACCATAATTCCTCCTTTTAGGTTGTTTTTAAGAATTTCAGTAGCAAGGGGCTCTCAATCTGATGTCACAGCCAAGCACTCAAACAGCTACATGTGCTGCCACCTCTTATAAATGCAGTCCCTGTAAGCATATTCATTAGTATTCACTGCATCAACCCAGTATGCATTTCTGGCTGACCACTCTCCAACACTGAAGCTTTGCAAGCACTGAAGGCAGGCAGTCTGTTAAATGTGAAATGATTTTGCTGGTGCTGCCTTAAGAAGTTTGAAAGACTGGTTGCAAGAGGGAGAGTGTTAAGTGCTACTGAAATGACAGGGGGCAGAGGAATGCTTTGAAGAAGAGATTTTAAACAAATACGTGAAGTAGTTGGGATGCAATATACAAACAAAAAATAATTGATGTCTCTGAAGAACTTAGAGAAAAATATATTATATACCTGATGCTGCAACATCTGCAATGGGCCTCTTTGTGACATTAGCCATGAATCCAACAATGGAGAAGATGACAAAGCCTGCAAACATGCTTGTGCATGAGTTTATGCAGCACACTATGATGGAGTCCCTGAAATAAAGATAAAGTGTTTTAAGCAGTAAAATAATGCTAATGCTCAGTATATTACCATTTTTTTCCTTTGAAAAGGTTTCGTGGATAAATTTAATGATTTTAGATTTCATAGAATGGGTTCCGTTTCACACTGGGCAAGTCACATCTCTCTCATTAGTGTAAATGCAGTTATACATCTCATTCTTACATACATATAACATTTAATACTTCAGAGATTATACATTAATTCAGAGATACAGGACCCAGAAAGATAGAATCCAGCTCCAGCTGAGAGGGCAAAGTACTACTGTAATATGAGCGGTCATCTGCTTACCTGTAAACATTATTGTGGAAAGGGTTGTAACTTCCAAGGGCAATCAGTGAACCAAGACCCAAACCATAGGAGAAGAAAATCTGTGTGGCAGCATCCAACCAAACCTGATGGCAAGAAATATATATATATATTTTTAAATCATTTCTCTGCTTGAGCAGCAAATCTTATGTCTGAAAGGTGAAGTTAGTAGTGAAACTTTTGTTTACAAAGACTAGATGTTTACCTCAGAGTCTGAAAGCTTACTGAAGTTGGGAGTTATATAGAACAAAATGCCTTCCTTTGCTCCAGGCAGTGTAACACCACGGAAGAACAAGATAAGCAGCATAACATAGGGATAAGTAGCAGAGAAATACACCACCTGATTTGAAGAAAAAAGACATTGTAAGTGCAGAAGAATCATCTGTGTTTGTTCAGGTATTTGCTCCAAAAAATTAAAGCTTAGAGTGTAAAGGGCCTAATGCTGAACATCCTAAACACTGTGTCTTCAGTTCAGGCAGTTGTTGCCAACTTTCCTGGGTGGACTAGAAGGCTTCTGCACCAGGGGCTTGTGCTTCTCTTTCTTGTGTTCAACAAGGGAGTTCCCCAAACCACAAGATTCATAGCTGCAGTACTCCTACCCTGCTTGTAGAATATCATCATTTTATTTCTCTTTTCAAACAGCTACTTTAACATCTTTAACATTCCGATTTCATCATTGTAATTGCCCTTCAGTGTCCAACTCTGAAATGCTGTTACCCTTCCATTCCTGGAGAAAGATCTCTCACAATAAACTTCCTTTAATTTAATTAATAAAACCAATCAGACTCAAAGAAGTATAGTATGCAAACATGCCTGTGGCCAGAACCATGTCTGGCTCTCATTCAGCATAAGAAGGGAAAAGTTCTGCCATGCACCTTCAACAGTTACATATCTAAGTCCATCAAGAGTTGTTTAATGTATACTGGTTACTGAAGCCAAAATGCCACATCCTCACTCTACTACAATTCAAACTAGCCAGAATATTCCTTTGAGGAGTAAGCAGACTTATATTTAGGGATTTTCTACTTGGCAAAGCTAGAAAGTCTGTAAACGAACGCCCTAACCAAGATGGTCAGAGCAAGCTGTGGAGCCTTGTCAAACAAATGGTACTCTATCAATTCAAATAGGACAGAAACGCAATGCTTAACAGAACTGTCCCAGAAAACTGTCCCACTGTGTCTTACCTCATAAATTTTCAAAATATCTTAGTAAAATAAGCATTTTAAATCAAAATATACTTACAGTATTTTTTTCATCTTACCTTTCCAGTCCAGCCCACCCCCTTCCAGATACAAAAATAAACCAGAATCCAGGCAATTGCCAGAGTAATTGCTAGCGGCCATCGGATCTGCCCTGGTTTTTCCAATCCATCAGTCATCTGGTGCATGTTGCGTCTAGAAAAAGCAAACAGAACGGTATATTTGATAATCAGTTCAGAAGATGGCATATGAAATATAATAAGCTAATCCTTGCAAATGCACAGAAATGGCATAGAGAAACATTCTCAGCTTACTCCCAGAATTCAACCACAGCACTTGTCATGTTGGTGGTGTTTGCTAAGGTATAATTGGAGAAGCAGCGGTCAGTGTTCCATGGGTTCTCACAGTGCTTCCAGGGAAGAGTCTATTTACAAAGGAGAAAGAGAGAAAATCCTAAACAGTCATTTTTAAAGTAAGCATTACCCCAAGTACCTCATTTTACAAAAAAAGAAAGGAGAACTAATATATTTTGACTTCTGCGATGTACTGATCTCCCTGTGGTGCGTGTCTGCCACGTAAGTTACTTAGCTTTGTATCAATTACATCAATCAGATGTGGAAGTATTTCTTTCTTTCTTTACTATACCTGCTCAAATGCTTTGGAGTTGGCTATGTCTCTCAGCATGTTTGAGTACACTGAGCATACTACAAGAAACAAGGGCAGCGCAAAGGACCTCCTGGAGGTCCAGTTACCTCTTGTTGCACTACCCGTAATAAAAACATCATGATTACTTATCAGAGTTCATTTATCTCCTTCGGCCAAGGGACAATTAGAAAAATGGACACGTGTAAAAAACAAAACTTACATTACATTGTTATCTTTCTGAAATTCTAATAGACAAAGCCTATTTGCACGTGTTATGTAATAGAGTGAATCTGATACAAATACAGCATAGATTTTCTTGTGATGGCAGATCTTGGAAAACATTATCACATTAAAAAAAACTCAAAAAAGAAAAAAAAAAGGAAGAAAAAACAAACACAAAAACCCAACCTTTTACACACTAGAATTTTTCTCAGAGGAATGACTGGTTGCCTCTTTGTTGAAAGACAAGGTGATACTAGCACTCGTGTTAGCATTGCCAGGACTAGCAGTCACAAGCCTGAGCACAGATTCTCTGCATCTGCCTGGTAGAGAAGAAAGCAGGCATGCTTGTGATTGAATGGCAAACAGGTAATAAAGGGAAACTAAAAGGGGACAGATGAAAGACCTATGGCTGTGAAGATCAGGATCAGAAAATTTAAACAAACCAGTAAGAAAGGGAAGCCTAGGGCTCCAAAACAAGCTTTTACTGTGTTTCTCCACTGACATTCAGTTTTCTATTCTGCGTTTCTCATGAAGGAAAAAAAAAATTGAATTTTTAAAGAGTACATCTTGAATAAAAAAATTCTTATCCTACTGATTTTTATGTATTTTGTGTAATCTCTCACCTTCACAGTGAGATAGTTTAATCAGCTAGCTACCTCACTTTGCTCTTCCTTGAATAAAATCCCTCCACTTCAACCCCATACTTACAGTTGTAAAGGAATTATACAGGTAATAAATGGCCCATGAAATAATCACAATGTAGTAAATATTTAGCCAAAAGGAAAGGACTGCAGCAGCTAATCCCACACCTGCAAAAGAAGAACCAAAAGAAGGTAACTTTCTGTAAAGGTTGTATGAGCGTCAGCTCAAGTGCTGCAGTAGGACAAATGATGCAGATAGCATTTACCAGATGCTGTAAGTTCAAATTCTAGAAGTACCTCTGCAAAAATGGCTAATCTGAGAGATGGCTGATCTAATTAGTTCAGTTACAGTGCCCAGTTCTCAGTGCTGCAGTAAGCACTCACATCTGCTGCTGCTGAGATTTTTTTACTGGACTTTCTTACTTGTAGGAAAGAGAGCTAAATCAAATCATTCTCCAAAACAGCAGTACCACAGCAACTTCTGGCATATGCACACAAAATGTGTACAAGTTAAAAGACCAGTTAGCCCTTTAGTTCACTATTGAAAGCACTTCATGCTTAGTATAATGCTATTTTGGTAGCTCAGGCTAAAGAAACAAGTCAGGAGTTCAGCGATCAGAATGTCCTCTTCTGCTCCACATGGAGACTTCTTAAGGGGCATTTTAAAAAGTTCAGGCTGATGACGCTGCATGACACTAAACAGGAAGAAGTATTCAAAATAATGAGCAACGTAAAGTCTATACTTTGCACTGTACTCCCTATCAACATCAGTAACTCAAGCACAGTTACAATACAAATCTGTGAGAAATGTTTTAATCTACTTGTGTTTTCCAAACAAAACATTTCCTAGCAGAGAACCCATCCTAAAAAACCTTTTATCCCACCTCATGCTAATTGTCAGTCCTATTGTGTGAAGTAATTCATAACAGCCTATAACTTGCTCTTTTGCTGGACCACAAGTCAACTCAGGAGCTCTTAAGTATCAAGTGATATAGGATTAGGGGGTGGAAAGCAGTATGTGATGCTTGTGGGTTTACACAGAATCCAGGATAAAATCTTAAGGTTCTAGAACTGAGAAAACCAAACTAGCTGAAAATCTAAACATGGAGCGATCTTTCTTTCAAGCAATTCAGATTGGAATTGCTAGCTTTGAAGTGTCCAGCCTTCACATATCAGTACAAAACAAAAGGAGATACAAACCCTCATGACCTGGAATAGAAACATGGTTTATCAAAATGCTGTGAACCAAGGAACCAAGTTCTTTGCCTGCTCAGACAGGTTGCTAGATTTTGAACTATCTTTGCATGTTCCTAACAAAAACGAGTTTTTAAATTTCACAGAATTAGTCTGTTGATGCCTATTTTTAAAGGGAAATGAATAATATCCTAGTTTGTCTCAAAATTGTCAGTTACACTTCATAAAATTAGGAGTTGCTGTAAAATATGGTAGTTTAAGTAAAAATGAAGAAATGTCCGTGCCCTGCCACTTCGTGTAATGTCTGCAACATGGGTAAGCAGAAAGAAATACAAATTCATATTGTACCTTTGAACATTGGAGCAAGCTTCCACACTCCAAGGCCTCCTATAGATGTGTACTGACCAAGGGAACACTCCAAAAGAAACAGTGGCACTCCAGCAAAAATTAGAGTTAGGAAATAAGGTATCAGGAATGCACCTAAAAAGAAATAAGAAAAAGCCTATTACAGTGCAGAAAGCCACCACTGTTTCTAGCTTTTCCACCCCTACTATATCTGGAAAGAAACCCACATTTTTTCCTCTGAGGTGTAGCTTGCTAAAACAGCTAGTGAGAAGCACATGCACAGTTCTGAACCAGTATCTCAAGAGGTTTTGCTAAGGGGAAAAATATCTCTCCCCATCATGTAAATACCTTCCATTTAAGTAAAAACCAAAATACAATGGACCATGCATTTTGTTGTCTTCATCCATAAGAGCAGCACGCATACGGTATAAAGGCTTTAGCCAGAACTGGCTGCTTTCCAGCTGAAGCCAGCCTTTGATGATAAGCTCTGAGTAAGAGTTACAAGCCTTATGCAATCCTCTCAAACGCTCAATCCAAAAGAGGGTTCTGAAGGGTTGGAGGGGAATGTGCTTCAATTCTTTTCTAATACCTTATGGTCTTTTATAAGCACTTGCCAATGAGACATTAGAATAAACTCGAGGGCACAGCAGACTTCAAAGCAGAGCGCCCTGCTCTGAGATGCTTCCAACCCTCATGATCTAGTTAAAAGCAAAGCAAAGCAAAAAGAAAAAAAAAAAAAAAGCAACCCTAAAATCACACATACACAGATGGAAAAAAAACCGTCCACTGAAACACATTTCTAACAATTTTTATGGCAAATACTAACATGCAGATATACCAAAAGTTGTAAGAAATGAAGAGCAAACATACCTCCACCATTCTTTCCACAGAGGTATGGAAACCGCCACACATTCCCTAAACCAATGGCATAACCTACACAGGACATAAGAAAGTCAAATTTTCCTTTCCAGGTATCTCGGTCCGGAAGGTCCGTCTTCTTCTTCTGCACTTTTACTACCAAAGTTTTAGGCTTGTCATTGGTGATCGAAGCGTCAACTTCCGTGGAGATCTGCCCGTCGGCCACCTTCGTGCCGTTTGTTGCCATGTCTCGGGGCTTGGCGGGGGAGGCTCTGGTGGCCGCCGGACGAGGGATTTCAGCTCCGGTCCACGTGGACAGCAGCTTTGCGGCTCGCCGTGGCCCAGCCGCGTGTCAGCCCTGGGCGGCGGGCGCTGTGCGGCTCCGGGGTGCTCTGCAAGGCACAAGAGGGGCACTCAGCAGGGCCCGGCTGCCACTCTGCCCTCGGCTCAGTCTGCTTCCAACTGAGTCAGTGGGAAGAGACCAGAACTAACGTCCTCCAAACAAACGCCAAGCCGCAGTTGCTTATTTTTCATTTCCCTTCAGTCTGCAGGAACTACAGCCCCTGAGTCTACAGATAACTTATCCCAATATACCCACTGCATTGCACACAGCAGATATTTACTGCACGCTATGCTCAAAACACATAGCTGAGGAGCAGACATTACGACAGCTGGAAAAAACACTGTTTGTGCACTCATAAATGAAGACCACTATGCTTACCCTGATTCTTTGGTGACGGGAATAGGGTAATTTAATTGATTTTTAGAAACGTTCTTCAACTCCATAGGGTCAAGCACATATCCCTGTTTCTGGAGAAGATGAGTCAGGGATGAGTTTTCTCTTTAACAGCCCAGAATTTTTGCACTGAAGCTTTGTCATTTAATCATTCTGCATTAAAAAGCTAGAGGATAATTCCCATGAGCATAAAGTTCCTTTATGCATAGGAAGGTGCTACTATGGTTATGGTCATCAACAAATATCTACCAACAACAGGGACTTGAAAAAGTTATGAACTGTGTGCATTTCTCTAAACACTTTAATGTGAGATCTTCCCAAATGGATTAAAAATAAATCAGATTAAGCAACAGAACTTAATATTGGATAATGATGTTGGGTTTCCTATGTAGTTATAATTAGTTGCTAATATAACACAATGTTCTATTAAGTTTAATTTGTACATGCTTCAGTACAAGTCTGCAATAAGTATGCTTCAATTAGTTTAGTAATTCTTTCACCTGTCATTACTGCTACTATACAATTTTCAAAGTTTAAATAAAGGAAAATAAAGGAAGCAAATGTGCATTATGCAATAGACCTAAGATATTCCAATCAGTTCAGAAGTGCATGTAACTCCTGTAGGCTTCCACACAAAAAAAAAAAAAAAAAAGAAAAAAGAAAAAAACACAATGAGCTACTGTTTGTTGCATGTCTACCGTATGCCCATGCATGAGAGATTTCTTCAGGCAGTCCCCCTTTCTCAGCTCCTTTTACCATTTGCCAGACACCAGTCCTCAAAACAGACACTTCAACAAATGAAATACCTTCCTGCATGAAGCTCCATGTTATGGTAACGTTGGCAATGCTGGACAAAAGCTCCCACAAAGCTCAACGTTTGTTTACAGATTTATGGAAAGGTACATCAAGATTATCAGTCATTCACTTCTAATAGTAAATTATGTCAAAAAAATAAATCACGCAAAGATTTTTCCACTAAAAGTGGTTGTCTTCAACTTCTCATTTCAGATGGCTAAAATGCTTCTTAATCCTCCACAAACACAAGGACATACCTAGCAATTAAAAAGGACTTCAGTTGGAAGATGAGGAAGAATCACCTGTTACATTTGCTGGGGTGAGGATTGTGCTTATAAACTTCCTCCCTGTTCTACTTTAAGATTGATTGCAAAGGCAGAAAATCACTGTAAGTACTTTCCTGTCCTCACAAGTCCTTCTGTGTATAGATATCTTTCCTTTCCTGCGGGCTTTTCTGTGTATAGACATCTCTCCCCTTTCCTGTGGGCTCAGTTTTCCATATTTTTCTGCAAGCTTATCTAATTTTGTATACCAAATGCCATTCCTGTCTACGGTCTAGGTTATTCTTAACATCTACTAGTCAGGAAATATGTATCTCTTAAGGACAAATCATTAGAACTCCTAAAAGCAGAGGTGAAGCCCCCAAAATCCATATGTGATTTGAGAACATAGAGTTCTCAAAGTGTTTCTTGGCAATTTGTCCCCATCCTGTACAGTGCTCACCTACTGAGGGCAGGGTCCTCCAACCTGTAATCTCCAGCTTTCTCCACCAATCAACAAAGGCATTTATTTCTATTTTAGGGCTTGGGAAAACTTCCTTCTTGAGAGACATGGCTGGCACCGCATCTCTGTCATAGATAAAAGGTACCCATATCTGAGATGATGAAGTAGAAAAGGCCCCTATTTCAGAACTGCTATCTTGGGGGAGGGGGGGAGGGGAAGGGGGGAGACATGAGATGCCAACCCACATCCATCCCTAACTCCCTCGGATTGATCCGTGCTCTTAAAGAGAATTGACATCACTTGTACATAAAAAAGCGCTATGACCGATCAGAGCTTAGCTTCTCGAGGTTCTCAAAAATAGGACAGAACTAATCCAAGCAAATGTCAGAACTGCCAGCACAGACTCTTTACCCGAGTTAGTTGCTGCAGGCTTCCCCTGTGCCCACAGAAGGCCCTCATGTCAGCAAGGTCCGTCTGACCTAAGCATGAGTTCTCCACGCTGATTACAGAGCCAGGGCACACAGCTGACGTACAGCTGCACGGCAAGTGTTTCCAGCTGGGTGAGCTGAAACCCATGCTTGCTAACCAAGTCTTAATCTCAGCTGCAGCATGTAGCAGACTGATGAAGCATTCAGAGCAGTAATTGCAGTTACTCTTACATCCCCTCAGAAGGTACCACAGAGTATGGTTCTCCCATGTTGTAATTCACCTAATCCTGAACTGCAGCCTTCAATGCAAAGCTGAAGTCCATGCTTACTGGCTTTATATTTGATTTCTGCTACACTCCAATCAGAAAAGAAAAAACTTCTGCTCATGAGAAGTTTGAGCAATTCTGGTAGCCATTCAGAAGCCCAGCAACCTTTGCATAAGGCAATACAGATCACTGTATCATGGACAAAACTGAGTTTCCGTTCTGAGGCTGGATTGAGATCACGTAGCAGTTTTGACCTTCTCACCCACGTTTGTTCCTAAGATTAAGGTGCAGCTTCCAGAGCGCTAACAAATGTGCAGCTAGCCAGCACCACCTACTGATGAAGATGCAGAACTGAAAGCGTTTCTTGCCAAAGGAGGCTGTGAAAGTCATTAGGGTGTACCAGTACTTATATAAACTCATATACTTATATACTTATGTACTTATATAAGTCTCATACTAGATCTTTATTTATTTATTTGGCACTTAATTTGGACTGAGCATCAGCTGGAGATTCCAGGTATTGGAGAAAGCTGTGTGTTGATGAGTGGAAAAAAAAAACACCAACCAACCAACAAAAACCAAAACCACAAAAGAAAACTCAACAAAGAAGTGTGTATCTATGTAGTGTACATATATATATATATACACACACACACACACATATATATATAAACCATATCTATGTTTGATAATAAGGAAGAAAATATTGGAGGAAACTCATCCTTACACTGGCCCTCCTAAGAAATAATAAATTACAACAGAAGTAGCCCATGGCCTCCAATTTCCCCTCACCACCCACTTTTATATACAGTAGTTTTTCACAAACTATGACTCGCATACAACAATCAGAACAGCAACAAAGACACTTGGTACACAACTCTGATTGATTAAGCATTCTCTCACATCATTGGGATTGAAATTTAAAATGAGTTTAAAGTGGAATGGAACAGAAAGATTCTTAAATAAGCTCTGTGGCTTGGCTTGGGCAGAAGGAAAGACAAATTGCAGCTGTCAGCCAGCAGATCAGGTAGGACACTTGCAATTCAGTGTTTCAGTTTGTGGGAAGAAGCTGGAGAGATCCCTTAAATAAGTCAGCCTTTGCTCCCACAGCACCTTTGGGCCAATGCTGAGTGTACTAGGAAGGGCATGGTAGCTTCCCACCACATTCCTCAATGCACAATAGAGCTTCCTTGACTTCAGTTACTAGGGTTGCTCAGCCAAGAGGAGAAAGCCCTCTAAAATAGGGATTTAGATACCATGTGGTTGTCCCGCATCACCACCACATTAGAGAAGAATGAGTCGAGAGAGCCAAGCACACATAACAGCCAAGGTAATAAGCACAGCCAGGGAAACCAGAACAAAGAGAGTGCCACTTCATTAATAAAAGCATTTTTCTCTCTTCTGGCCTGCATAAAATTGGATTTGAAAAGTTTAGAACTGGTTGCATAAAATCAAAGTCTACAGCAATATTCCTATCATCTTTCACGAGTGATATCAAAAGGCAAAAGTGGAACAGCGCAGAAGCTGTGCAGCAGGAAACTGCCATTCCTACAGAACCTGTAACCTCTGCCTCATTCAAAGTGGAGCACCCCCTCCCCTCCAATCCATTGTGCTCCTCCTTCCCTGGAGCACAGCAGCTCTGAGGGCTCCACACAAGGCAAGACTAAAGCAGCTCCATACAGTAAATTCTAAAGAAACACCGTTATATAAAGTGCCACATCACTTTCATAAAAATTTGAAGGTATTATTGCTCTGACCTTAATGGGACTCCAGTTGAGCTCACTGCTGCCAAGAGTTATTTTCACTTACATTTCTAGTTGTATTGGGCAATCAAGTCAAGAGAACACCAATACTAAGTTTCATAGCAAAACAGTTCATGTCAGCAGCGTCCTGGAATGTATGAAATGGGACTGAAATATAGAAAGTACTAAAAGACTACTCATGAAATGGTCTTCCATTTCACAAAGAAAACTCTGTTGTATTATTCTTTTACAGGAAGGACCCTGCTTGGAAGCACATAGATATTGCACACCAAGTGACAGCACACATGCTGTTACACATATACATAGCAAAAACCCATATGCATTGAAGAATGCTCCTACTAACTTCTCCCTCTGGTAATTCAGATGTCACTCAAGAATCCAGCCCCTTGAACTGACACTTTCACAACGTGTTCATTTTGGTTCAGTACTTTGTGCAATGCTCACAGACTCAACAAGCCACCATTAGTTTTCTTATTGGGAAGAGAATTTTCCTTTATGGGCAATTGTTGAATTACATGTAAACATGTAAATAAGAACAAACAAATAAGGAAACAAAATGGAGTATTTTCCTTTGGGCTCACCTCTTCTGAATTTGCTTGTAGTCCCTGCTGGTCATGAAGAGTTATCACAGTTCCTAGAAGTATTTTGTTGTGCTTGCTCTCCTATTTCATTTCTTAAGAT